TCCACTACACACCTGAACAAGATTCAAGGTTGGAGCTTAGGGAACCATCAACCACTTCCTCACTATATGATATGTTCATTGTCTAACAACGGGTGGGGTTCAGCACATGCGTAATGCAATGTCACGCATGAACCAGTCAGTACTCTCAGCTATTGGGTTGGCCCATAAGTGATGGCGTTTTTTTTCAACTGGAGATTTTGTTCAAAAAGTGAGAAGTTTTGCGAGCAAGTTTCGATATCATCTGATAGGAAACTTCTCGTACTATAAGAATATCGAAACAGCTTCGGGTGAGGAAATGATTTTTGTAAGTTTTTTAGTCGTTGAAGTTGAAAGTTGAGTCGGCGAAAATTAGTACCTTCGACAGCTGCCTCTATTTACGTCTATTCGAAGTGCTAAAATCGCTTAAGCTGCTCCATACATTTGCAATAGGTTGAGCTAGAAGTCCCAGCGAGGGAATCCTCATAGGACGCTTCGGAACTAATTTCAAGAATTTCGAAGTTGGCAACCTTCACCTCGCAGATAATGGGCAGGATCACAAGTCATCGCGTCTGTTCCACTTGAAATTTTATGCTAATAGTTGAATGTTTCGCTAATGTGTTTTGTATGCTCTGATAGCAAATTTCGTGCTCTATAACACTGCAATGGAAATCTGTTTTCCATAGCTGTTTACTTTCTGTTAATTTCAGGTTATTAATACGGAATGTCAGGTCGATGAGAATCAGCATTCCCGACTTCTTCTCCCTACCGCTTTCCACGGAAGCTTCAAAGCCCCTGGAGCAGCTCAATAGATTCGCCATGGTTTGAGTAAAGCATTGAGTAACAGATTAATATTAGTCACCGAGAAGGCATTGAAAAGGTGGCTGATCGTGGGAAGAGGTTGTAAGAAACAATGGAGAATATATTGACTAGTTTGTAACCATATTTTTTAGTGTTGTAAATACTGTGTTGAAATTTAATCAGGAAAAAAAAAAAAATCGTGAGGTATGGGTCGACCGGATGTCTGCAAGGTCAGCGTTGTCGGTTTTGCTTTTCTCAAAATCAATTGTGAGCCGTCCTAATATTAATCTGTTACTCAATGCTTTACTCAAACCATGGCGAATCTATTGAGCTGCTCCAGGGGCTTTGAAGCTGCTCCAGGGGGCTTAGAAGCTTCCGTGGAAAGCAGTAGGGAGAAGAAGTCGGGAATGCTGATTCTCATCGATCTGACGTTCCGTGTTAATAACCTGAAATTAACAGAAAGCAAACAGCAATGGACAGAAGATTCCAACTGCAGGTTAGAGCGCGTTCAGACTTCGCGATCGCGCGATCGCGCTACTGTGGGTGAAATTACACCGGGAGGGGGTCATGTGTGTGTCATTGTTCAACTCAACTCCAACAAACAACAGACAACAAAGTTCTGGATAAGGGAGTGTACTAATATCACCATTTCTCACATCACGATGCTGTATCCTGCCTCCAATAGGCAGTTCCAAAAACGATATAAAAGTAAGTTCGACCCTTTTTGATGTCTTTTAGGCGTGTTACTGACGATTTGCAGAAACCGTCGAACAAGTGAAAGTGGTTAGACCTGCGAGGCGGCAGAACAAACAAAGCAAACACATATGTGAACAAAGATAAAGTCGAATTACTGAAGAGACTGGCAAAATGGGGGAAGGAGGAATCAAATCACCGCATGTTGAAAGTTCTGTGTCTTTACTTTCTACAAGACGTTCAATACTCAGCTTGAACGTACTCAGATGCAAAATTCAGTATAATAATTAGCATATTGTATATTTAGTACTATTTTACATAGGAAATAATAAATAACTCAAAGATATTTCGAAACGTTCCTTAAAATTAGGAGGGCGTTATGTACACAAAGGAAGAAAGAAGGAAAAGGAAAAAAAAGAACAGGAACAATAAACATGAACGAACATGACCCCTCCCGGTGTAATTTCACCCACAGTAGCGCGATCGCCATTCCCGGATCGGCGCGAATGAAGTTTCTGATGCGCTTTATAACAAACGCACAGAAGCTTTAGAACACATTAGCGAAATATTCAACTTTCACCTAAAATTTCAGGTGGAAACACCGCTCCCTGTGACTTGGTATCTGCCGCATTATCTGCGAAGGTGAAGGATGAAAACTTCGAAATTCTCGAAATTATTCTCGAAGGACGTTCTAAGAGGATTCTCGCTGGGACTTTCTAGTTCAACCTGTTTTGCAAATGTACTGAGAGCAGCTTTAAGCGATTTAGCACTTCGAGCAGACGAAAACTCAAGAGCAGCTGGTCGAGGCACTAATTTGGCCGATTCATGACTTTAACTTCAACGAAACTAAAAAACTTACAAAAATCACTTCTCACCCCAAAGCGCTGTTTTGATAGATTCTTATAGTACGAGAATTTCCCTATCAGATGATATTAAACTTGCTCGCAAAACGATTCACTTTTTGAAAAAAATTTCCATTTGAAGAAAACGCCATTACTGTATGGGCCAACCAATATTTGACTTAGTTAGAGCATTTAGCGTCAAATCAATCAGGTGACCGCTCACCACGTCCCACACGTTTCATTTCACGTCCTTACCTCGACAACTTCGAATGATAATTTGTTTCTTGAAAGGAAAGAGCAGATTCTTAACTGCGACTTTTTTCGAGATAAGGTCGCCATAACGGCAACCGGCATGACAGAGATTACACTCTCGTTCTCCGCGGACGATTGGGCGTGTCCGGCAGAAGGAGTGCATCACCCCGTCAAAGTCCTTCACTGCCTTCTTGTTGAAACGCGCATGCGACAAAAAGTGGTAGAATGGTAGGACAAATGCAACAGTTATATTTGCGCTTCAACTGGTGAGAAGGTATTATTGCAAATCCATCCTCGCCTGACACGCCCAAACTCCTCGCAGACGTAACTATAGGGTATCATGAACTGGCGGATTTGACGCAAAGTGTTGCATTGCGCGTTGCTAATTCGCTGCGTACAGAGAGGAGTGTCAGACATGATGAGTTTGGCGCGCTGCCAAACCCGTTCACGACCAGTTCTCGAAGCGAGCAAGTGACAAGAGTGTATCATATCGTTCGTTTCACTCGTTTTCTAACAACTGTTGTCGCGTATCCGCTTCGACAACTGGCAAAGAACGCCGTGGGACACTCATACGCTACGTCCTGACATGCTCCTTCATCCGCAGCGAACTAGAGTAACAACCCCAACAGCTGAACGTGCCGTTTACGCGTGACGCATCCAAGGATGCTACACAATTAAGCGCCAAAATTTCATTGATTACAGACGATAGCCTTCACTTTTGAGTTTCCTCATCTTACTGCAGTAATAATGAACACTAAACATCAAACCGTGGAACAAACATCATAGTATCTGCTTAAACTTTATTACAAACCTTTTTGTACACACTTATCAATATGCAACACTGAAACAAGCATTCACCCACCCTTTATTTTATATGGAGATCGATCAAAGAGTCCACACTGTCGAAAAATTCGAATAACTCTTCGCGCGGTTAAAGAACTGTTTCCAAGGAAGATCAAAAACACAGGTGACTTTTCTCGCCATTCTTTTCCAAATGATTTTGTTTCCCCTCTTTCAAACCATAACCGAGTTCAGAATGAGAAGATATAGTTAGCATTTATGTGAAGCAGTTAAGAGGAGGAATCGTTTCAGAATGAAGAAAACGCCGAAGCAGCCTCTTGAAAATTACTTAGTTCTAAAAATCGGCTGATGAGACTGCAGCACTTCAACAGGGTTGAGAGGAGTTAAAGTTACGCGTTCAGAAGATACTCTTTGACCGACCTTATAGTACAAAAATAGTTCTCTAGTTGACCAGTTGTAAGAGAGCACTGCCATAACATGTGAAAATGAATTTGAATGGATTCCTAATAACATCCGAAGAAAGACACCTATTTGAACTCGATATATATCTGACACCCTTCCCAAGAATCACAATATGGAGCATAAAACAAATACTGACATGACACTAAGCGAACGGTCGCGAACACAGTGTGAAAAAAGTATACTTCATTCGTCGTCGTCGGAGCTTTCACTCAAATTCAGGCCAAGATCTCTGTGGTCCGTTTTCGCGGTGTGTCTGAATTACCCCTTTGCAGTAAAGTTATAATGAAAAGATGTTTAAAAAGTGAGCAACCTCGAAAATCCGAAGCAGCGCTACGACATACTTGGGTAATACTGTCGCCTACCGAATTTTCAAGTCTTTCAAAAAACGCAAGAATCGAATACCTTGAACTGAAATTGTTCTGCGAAGTATGAACGGGTGGTGGTGGTTGCGAAATGGAGTCAAGTGATGGCATGTCGATACTGTCCACAGAAAACGTTACAGGTGCAGTCGATGTCTTCATGCTTTCAAGGAGGTGGCCTATGATTCATAGATTAAAATCACAGCAGCGATGAGCGAACAACTACCATCAGTTTACAACATTTTGTTATAGTAACTGCCGCAGCTAGCTACTGTAACATTCAATTCCACTTATATGTACTACAACTGCTCACAAGACTAACTTCAACATCACTAAGGGCCTTTAAATAGCGTCAAATGAACTATAAAACCGTCGAAAGCACCTGAGTTCGCGCCTGTAGTATAATTTCAGCGTACAAGGTGCTACTGGAATGGAGTGTAGGGAGGGCCGGGCACATGGGGCACAAGCCCTCTTTTCCGCAGTCGTTCACTCCTACCCTGTGCGGAGCTGCTTTTGCACCAGGATCTGTTTGATTCGACGCGGCAAAGCTAAGGGTGCAAGGTCGGCTCACTGAGAACCACTCTGTTAGCATACGTGCGAAGTCACGACTCGGATTTCCCCAACTCAACTTCAGAAAGCGAAAGTGGGCATGCCCTAGCCGCGGGTGGGCCCATCCCTACCTCTCCCCTCCTCTTCCCTTCTTATCACTCATAATTCCCAAAAACTGTCAACAGTTCGAAGCTTAGCAGTATGAAAGAAATAATTCTACACACAGTTCCAGATAACTATTTCCAAGCTTAAAGCCGGAACCTTGGGAGAATACTAAGTTAAGGTTAAAGGCCGCGTATCATACCTGTGCGTACGTTCTTTTGCGTAAGTGCGTAAGTGCGCAGCCTGCGCTAAGCTTGCGCGGAATGAAGAGATTTACATTACGTAGTCGATCCAAAGAAAGCTGCGTAAGTTGCGTAAGTTCGTAAGCTGCGTAAGTTGCGTAAGTTGCGTAATTTGCGTAAGCTGCGTAAGGTGCGTAACCGACCGACAACTTCGAGAAGAATAGATACGTATCGATCGGTTAGCTGTCGTCGCGCTTACGGCAACTTACCGCAGCCTACGGCAACTTACGCATGCGTTACCGCAACTTACGTCAGGCTACGGAGCTTTCGTCGGACCGTTGGACGTCGACGTCGCACGCATGACATACCTCGTATTGAACTGCGTCTTAAAGAAAACGTACTTTCAACATCACTGTCAGCCATACTCGAGTTCGAATCACGGTTCTTGCCTTGATCCTGAAACGTAAATTTTGTGATGAAACTCAACACGTTGACCGAAAAAACATTTTTAGGGAAACCCGTTACTAAGATTCCGAAATGCACTCAAGGAATCCCAGTGGTGATATCATACACAATTTTCGTTTCCTTTTCAAATTTTCAATTTTTGTACCTCATAAAATAAAGTCATGGTAATTTCCGATCAATAGGACTGAAAATCAGCTTTTTACGCAATACATTTCTAGTGCAAAGAATCGAAACGACTGCGAATAGCACACTGGATTCGAAAAAAATGAATAAGAGGCACTATTGAACTACTCCCACAACAAAAACTCAAAAAAACTTTTTTTTCTCGCTTAGACTTTGCCTATAGATGTTATTCGATGTCCTGATCACAAAATATGACGTCCATTTCCGGCGTTGGCGCCTTTGGCGCCAACGTTTTTCTAACCAGTTTTGATGCAACTTGTTGTTGAATCCCTGCTTCTGGTTGTCTTCGGGGGTGTCGATAAGACGATTTGCAAGAAGGTTTATCTGGCGAGTACACCACACAAAAAAACTAACTGATGAACCCTACCGCTCACCTCTCTTAAATACGACCTTAAGAGGGGTTTGCAGTATCAAGCTTTATCAGAGTTCATTCCTCTGATACAACACTTGTATACGGGGTCAACTGACATCCTGAGCATGAATATGGCACTTATTTTTGACGCTGGCGCCATTTGGCGCCACACCTTTTCTTCCCAAAATCGATAAAAACTTGCGTAATAGGGTTGTTTGATGCCCTGATCGCGAGTATGGCATTTATTTCTCCATACCAGCGCCACTTAGCGTTCTGCTGAGGCTGAACTGGGAAAAGGAGTGATTCCCTTCAGGCCAGGCTTAGTCCTAGCAAAGCGCAGAGGACCTACGTTAGCGCCGGTGCCAAGAATAAATGTCATATTCGTAATCAGCATGGCAAATAACCCCCGTACACAACAAGTTTTCAGCGAATTGGTGATTAGGGTATTTTGGCGCCGGCGCCTGTGTCGCAGGCGCCAGGCAGTTTCGGAGAAAAAACGGATATGATATTGGGGGAGGGAGGGGGGGGGGGGGGGTTCGAAGTACCCTTACGAGCGAATTTTCGTCCAAATCTGCCCATGTAGAAAAAAGTCGGTAAAAAACCGGCCTGATTTCAGCAGACTGGTGTACGAATAGTTCAATGGTGCCGAATAAAATGATGCCAAAGTACATTATTCGGCCAGAACCAAGAACATAACGCATAAGACCACCTCATCATCAGATCCACTATCGCTATCACTGTCATCACTCGAAGAGTCAGAGGAACTGCTGCTATCAGCTCCCGGGAATGAAGAACTGCTAAAACATGATAATTTTCATAGCACTCACTATATGCATACAACCGAAACATGATGGTAACCTTGGTTCAGGAGGAGGTGGACGTTCAATGCGATTGGTCCGCAAGCGGGCCATTTCAGATCGTAGGACGTTTTCCGTCGATGGATCCAAATCCCTGCGAAAATTCGTGAATAAAGTAAGGAAATCGAGAACAACTTCAACATGAAAAACTGAGGGCTGGAAAATATAACTGGCTCAAAACTTACCTGGTCTTCTTAACATTGATATTTGAAGCAATCTTTTCTAATCGAACTTTCCCAGACTTTTTATCGAAAAACAGCAGGCATTCTTTGGCTTTTGCTTCCTTTTTCGATCCTTTGAAAACAGTCATGTTCTCCCCATCAGTCGGTACAGCAACCTACAGATATGATATGAAATACTTTAGATGAAAACCTGACCAGGCAATCACACAAGTTTTAATTTTCTAATCACACACCAACCCAAACCCGAAAGTCTAAAAATCAAGGAAACGACAAACATGGACATCCCCGTTGGCTCCGAATGCGATGTAAGTGTCGGAATCCGAAGATGCCACTGACATCGGTTTGAAATCATCTATAAGTGGAAGTATAAGGGTAGAAAATGAGCACGGCTCTAGAGTTTCATCTCAACTAAAACTATATATTATAACTATAACTAATGTATTCTATCCCTTACATCGCAAGGTGTGGTAGGAAGGTCCATCGTTACGCCGTTGATCGGTGAAGGTTTTCCGAGTTCGAGCATGTA